AAGTTCTTGTTTTTTCAGTTCTACAATTTTCATCTTGGTCTCTGCTGAGATTCTTGGCAGTGCATTCAGGTTCCGAACAGTAAGAATTGCTGCTTTAAATCCGCGAGTGACTTATCATCTAGAGTCCATCTGAGTTATTTCTGTTGTCTGTTTTCTTTTCTCCTGGTGTTTTCTGTTCTTCTCCCATACGTGGGTACTTCTAATTGCAAAGGTGTGGACACCACTCAAGGTATGCAGCTGTGCCCTCTTTCCTGAGGTTTTACATATGCTGTAACACTGGGTGCCAGGGCTCTGGTTCCATCTCAGTGAACACGCGGGCACTGTGGTAGGGTAGGACTCCAGCTGACTATCCAAGGTTTAGTCTTAAGACAGCCACTTCAGATGGGCCCTCCAGCTGAGGACAACTTGACAATCTGACCAAAACACTTATACCAGAATGCTTGAAAGCATCTCAGAGCCAATAGGACTGTGAAGTATTGCTCTTCCAGGTATATGGGGCTGTGCTGTGGTTTTAGCCTTTGTGCTCTCCAAAACTGGTATTAAAATTGCACTGTAGGCCAGGCACTGGTAATCCTAGCTACTTAGGAGGCTGAGATCTGAAGATCATAGTTCAAAGCCAGCCAGACAGGAGAGTCCATGAGACTCTTATCTCCAGTTAACTACCAGAAAACCAGAAATAGCACTGTGGCTCAAAGTGGTAGAGCACTAGTCTTGAGCAAAAAAGCTTAGAGACAGTGCCCACACCCTGAGTTCAAGCCCCATGACTGACTGCCCCCCACCCTCACCCAGTCCACTTTAATAGTATGAAGAGGCCTTTAAGGAGTATAGACCATGAAGGTTCTGCCAATCACAGACACATTTAGTGACTTTAAAAAATGATTTTGGGGGGCTGGGAAGATGGCTTAGTGGAAGAGTGCTTGCCTCACATGCACGAGGCCCTGGGTTTGATTCCTCAGCACCACATAAGCAGAAAAAGCTGGAAGTGGTGTTATGATTCAAGTGGTAGAGTGCTAGCCTTGAGCTGAAGAGCTGAGGGACAGCTTAGGCCCAGAGTTCAGGCCCACAACTCTCCTACCCTCTCCGCCGTGGGATGAGGACACAGGAAGGGGCCTCGTCAGGCGCTGGCGTCTCCACAGAAGCCTCCCAAGCTCCAAACTGAGAAAGAAATTATATGGAATAGAAGCATCTGGGGCTTTTGCTACTTCTTGAGGCTGTGTCTGAACAGCTGGCACTTGATGCTCCTGTCTAGTCAGATCAGAGGGGTGAGAGTTACTAGTGAATCTGCTTTAGGGGGGACCCTGAATAGCTGTACTCCAATGAGATGAAATTTTATGCTTTATAAACTCTTATTTCCCCCCAGGTATCAGGGCTTGAACTCAGAGCCTTGTACCTTTTTTGCCCAAAGCTATTACCACTTGGAGCCACAGTGATACTTCTGGTTTTTGAGTGGTTAATTGGAGACAAGAGTCTCAGAGGAACTTTTCTGTCCAGGATAGCTTTGAACTTCCATCCTCAGATATCAGCCTCCTGAGTAGCTAGGATCACAGGCTTGAGTTACTGGTACCCAGTGCCCTTGTACTATTGATTGATCAGCTTACTTGCTTATCACTAGCCCTCTATCACTTGAGCTACCTCTAGGCTTTCTTTTTGCTGGTGAATTTGGAGATGGAATCTCTCAGACTTTTCTGCCTGGTCTGGTTGCATACCACAATCCTCTGCATCCCAGCCTCCTGAGTAGTTAGGATTACAGGTTTAAGCCACTGGCATCTGGTTTGGAGCACATGCTTTTAAAAATCAATGCTGTAATCACCTTGGAAGGGAAAGTCAGGACTGGAAGGTACCATCCTGATAAGAAGAGATGGAGAAATCTTCCCCTAAGTAAAGGAACCTCACAATCTCCCTACTACTGACCACTACACTAGCCAGGCAACAATGACTTGCTTTTCCTGACCAGATTGCTCCCCTCAAGTGATGACAATAATACTTTCTCGGGCTTCCCCAACTTCCCCTCCCTAAAACCAGGACTGAAATGAGATTCAATCAGGTGGCTGTCTCATCCTTTTACTCTGCAATTGGTTCGTGTTTGTATCCCAAAGATGAACAGAAGTGCTTCCTTTTTCTCTTCCCCTGGTATGCCTGTGCTGTGTAATCAATCTCCTTCTGTTCTTTCTATTACTTATCTCATGTTGCGGGGAGCGGCTATGGAGCCCCTGGAGGTGGGCCGAGGACCTACAACTCTGGTTTCAATATCATATTTGAACAGGATCCTACCTAAAACGGTGACATTATATTTTACCTTTGATAAATAAACTGCCAATTGCTAGATTAAAAAAAATGCTGTAATAGAACCTTTTGCATTGTAGCTACTGCAGTAACAGTTTCATATCTTGAGTACAAATCAGATGTTAACTTCCTGCCTGATCCTGTGCTACTTCATTTTATAAGTTTTTACTTCATGTAAAACAAAGTTAAGCAAATTAATACTCAGAATTAATGCAAGCATCATTTTATATGATCATATGCACATAGCTATTGAGCCCTTGTGATCCTTTCCTAAGAATATCCTCCTTTGGTCTCACTGTGTGAATGTTTGTGGAGTCCTGTTTAATTTATCATGTCCAAGTGTAGTTTTTTTGACCTTTTACTATCCATTGGGTTTACTTGAAATTTATGGGCACATTATCATTATTATAAATGAGGGAAAACATGCAGCCTATGTTTCTTTAGGTCTGGCTTGCTTTGCTTAATATAATTTTTTCTAAGTCTTTCCATTTTCTTACAAATGAGGCAATGTCCCTTTTGTCTGGTATGTAAGTTATCTGATTTGGGGAAGGGAAGGGAAAGCACAGAATGGTGGGACAAAGGGTGAACTAATTCAGCAGTGATACTCATTAGACACTATGTTGAAAATGAACTATACAACTTGGGGGGTTGGGGAATCTGGAGGGAAAATGAGGAAAGAGGTGACATTGTTCAAAAAAGAAACGTATTCAATATCTGACTTATATAACTGTAACCCCTCTGTACATCACCCATACAATAAAATTAAAGAATTAATACAGGTATAATACAAGCTTTTTGCTTAAAACTTATGGTTGCATAATGTATCTTTCTCTCAAATCAGGAAGAAAGCCATGTGGCTGTGCAGAGCTGAGGTAGTGATATAGGCAGCGGGCCTCAGTTATGGTAGGAGGAGCTGGTAGGACCTCAGCTGGAAACTTTATAGACCCCTGAGCTGCTGTGGGGGAGGGAGGGAGTGTGAGAGGGAAGGGCTGAGCCAGGGGAGTGCAGCATCTCTCCATCAGGGTTTCTTAGTTCTTAGCCCTCATCAAGATGACTTGACTTATGGGGACTTTATTTTCTCTTGGCAAAAGAACTGACAGTCTTGAAGCCCTCTGATGTCCCCTGGCCTACCCAGCCCCTAGCTAGGGATGTCTCCTGGGCAAACAGTCCTGTGGTCCTACCACAGACTCTGCTTCACATGATCCTTAATGGGTTTCTTTGTTTTAAAGACAGTAATGCATTGGAAACTGATTAAAGCTGTAAATAATTTTCCCACATAGAAGCAAGCACAATTGCTACCTGAAATGATAAGTCACTCTACCTGCATATCACCTCTCCCCAAAGCTGGACTGAGACGCTGAGGCAGAGGAAAGAAGCTCTGTAGGTGAGATTCCAGGTGAACCAGCCATTCCTGGGGCAGAGAGGGCTCGACAGGTTGAGCGCTGGGGTGGCAGTGGGCAAGCTACACTTGCCGGGCACCCAGCCCACCAGGGAAGAGCCTTCCCACAGTCATCTGGCCTCAGGATTCTCTTCCTTCATTGCAGATGAGGATAAGGAAACCGTCAATCTACCCTGAAAGCCCAAGGAAAACAGCTCCAAGTGGCGTTTCTGTGGGTAAACCACTCAGGTATGCAATGGGGTTTGAACTCATGGCCTTGTGTCTGCTGTTACTTGAGCCACACCCCAATCCTTTCTGCTTACATTCTGCCCTTGCTGAGTTAGATCATCACCAATCTTCTTATTTATACTTCACATAGCTAGCATGACATATGTGCACACCATGACCAGTTATTGGTTGAGATGGGGTCTCCCTAACTTTTTGTTTGGTCTGACCTTGAACTATGCCTCAATCTCTACCTCTTGAGCATGTGAGCCACTGTGCCCAGCCATGGCATTTACAACACACAGGGTAACTGGTGATATGGCAGGCTAAAATGACTCTACCCTGAGTTCCAGGGCACAAGGACAGGCTGAAAGGCTGGTTCTGATGGACTAACAACAGCAGTTTTACTTAGCTGCCCAGCCTCATCTGGATTACACAGTTGCTATACAGAAAACTGTGCATCTTTGGGAATGAAACTCTGTTCCTCATCCATCCGGCTGGGGAGGGGCTGGCCAGAGAGACAATGGGTGTGTGTGTGGGGGAGATGATTTGAAAGGATGTTTTCATGGGCTCTGCTCAGTGCAATCCAGTGGTGGGCGGCCATGTGTCCTTCAGGGAAACTCCTCCCTTGCTCAGGGACCAACTAGTGGGTCTCACGTGATGTTTTAAAACTCAGAAATAAGGAGAAAACCACCTTTCTCATCTCATACAGAATAAAGTGTTAATAAGCCAGTCTCTTTTTTGCTCCTATGAGCTTGCCTGAAGAAAAAGGATTGCTTTCAGAATTGTCTTGCTTTCCCCCATGATTATCCAGAATAACTTAATTTGTGCTCAACTCCAACTGAATTCCAGTCTTAGCTCATAGGCCAAATCTCCCCCCACAAACAGCCATTTTTTTCCTTTCTGAAAGAGAAGATGAAGAGGCAAACACAGGCAGGCAGGCAGGTGCCTGTGCGCGTGCGCGCACACACACATACACACACAGAAAACCTTAAATCGGAAAATCTTAGACATGCATAAAAATTGTGTACTATTGATATGTTATCCTGATGTCTAAGGTATGAGGATCCTGGGAAAACTCTAGATTTTTGGTTAATAATAAAAGTGCTTATCGAATAGCAAGTTTTTACATTTATTATGTGCACCCCTCCCCCCCTGCACTAAACTCTAAGCTGAGTGATCTACTGCCAGCTGGTACCAATCTCCAAGTTGAAGTGTGTGAGGGAACACGCTGTGTGATTCTCTCCAGTTGAAGACACACTGGGCAATGTATTTGCTTCTCTTTCCTAGCAAGAAGCTATCTAGCAGGGCTATTTGGCTGGAGGGTGGGTCTGGGCACCTGCTGCCTCAGTCGGAGTCCATCGTGAACAGCTGGATGTCCTGTGGATTCCAGTACAGGCCTACAGCTGAATTGTAGACCAGAGACCAGACGTAGGGGATGAAAAACTCCTCAGGCTGCTCTTCTTCCACATATTTGAATTTCAGTTCTGGGAATTTCTGCAAGGAGAAGAATATGATTTTATCCACACCCAAGCAAAAGCAGTGGAGTTTGTATGGGAGCCCCTATAAGCCTTTAAAATATTTCTCCTGGGAGAATGCAAATTATCTGTGGCCAGAGTGAATGACACACAGAGCCAGTTAATGTCATTTTGCTGATTAGGTTCCAAATGAATGAGGTAAGATGAGACATCACAGTGGCCCCTGCTTTGTGGCACAGGTAAATCTTGAGAGTTCAACACTAAGGGATGGATCTTCTTGAGAAACACTGTACTCAGGGTTGAGTCATTTGGATATAGGGACTTCCCCCTCCCAAGTCCTGAACCTTGAGACAAAGGTGTAGGTACTAGTCATGGCTCTTTAGAGCCTCGCCTCACTTTATCCTCCTCAAGGTCTGGACAGTGCAGGAGAGGCTGCGTGCCCTCTGCACATACTTGCAGTGTGCTGGAGGTGTACTTCAGCCCAACCTGACACGAGGTGAGCAGTTTAGTGGCCTGAGATTGCACTTACAGTACGGTACGTCACTAGAATTTTGATCTGGATTCTAACTTTCCTCTGGCTGGGACAGGGGGAGATTCTCCTTCCAGAAGCCAGTGGAACAAGAGGTATCTACTAAACCACTTAGGTCTCTTTTCTGGGTTAAGGTGGCTCTGGCAGGATTAGACTGCAAGGTTGGTGACTTTATTACTGGGTGGGTGTGGAGAGCAGGGCAAGCCAGGGTCCTAGGAGGTAGGATGTTGAGAGAGGAAGAACTGAAAGAGAGAGAAGGGAGGCACTAGGTACACCATGCACATGCATCCACAGGAACATATATCCTGTTACACTAGAAGCCCCAGATGAAGGCAGAGACATTAAAATGCAACTGGAGGTGGAAATAAGAATGTCCATCCAGGGACATATTTGGGGGTTTTCTTGTGCAGGCTGTGGGAGGAGACATGAGGCAATTTACACAAGACTGTTGTCTGTACATCTGAGGAGGCAGGAATGGGAAATAAAAGTAAAAAGTAGAGAAATACAGTATGCTTCAAACTTCTCTTGAAGGAATGCCTACAGGCAAGAGCTATTACTAAGTTTATGGCTAGTACTAAGTTTACCTGGTGACTCCCCTGTTCAAAAGAACAATGAGTTAAACACTGCCCTGAAATCCTGCAGAGATAGGCATAGAATTGCACTCGGCACCCCAATGATCCTTTTTATCAACTGGTTAAATCTATCCTGTGGAAAGGATTAGACTACAATCCATCCTGCCTTCTATAAAGGCACCAGGGGGACACTGGCCAGCAATGACCATAGCTTCTAGATATTGTAGGCAAAAATCTAAGGGAATATGATGTTCAGAACAGCAACAACATCCTATGCATAGTATGTAACAGTACATAAGGATATAACAGTATAAGCTATCTGTCAATAGCAGATACATGCAGATATTGTTATGAAGTTATTCTTCAAGCTGATCAATGATTATTTCTATAGAAGCTCTCTATAAAAACCTAGTAAGTCTGAGATTATAGCTAAGCTATTCATAGCTAATATAATTATCTACATTTAGCAGGCATATTCAAATACTTCACATACAGTTTCTCATTTAATCTTTGAAATAACTGGAACAAGAACTCAGAAAAGCAGGTAGTTTTAGCCCCATCTGTTTTCATTCACTTATTCATTCTTCAGATATTTCCTGAGTGCCACGTACTGTAGTAAGCACAGGGTCTGAAGAATTGCCTCTGTTCTTGTCTTCCAGGTAGGCTTGATTAACAAGGGGAACGGTCCGAAGGGGAGTTTATGGTAATGGCAATGGGAACAGAGGGTCACTTCTAAGTATGCGACATTAAAATCATGATCCAGGTATTTGCAACTTTTCCATAAGATTAGGTGGCACAGTCAGAAATATCCAAGATGACGCCAGAGTTGAGGCAGTTAATCCTCTAAATGCATGGGGCTGGGTGGCTTCAGTGGCTGTCCTGGTTCTTCTGCTTGGAGCTCAGAGACAACCCAGCTAGGAGCTTACTTGACTGGAATGGTCACCCTGTGGGATGTGCAAGGCACATCCGATGAGTATCTGAGTAAAAACTGGTGCCTTCTGCTTACCACAATTGGGGCTTATTTTGGTTATCAATTTCTTTTTCTTTCTTTTTTTTTTTTTGGGTCTGGTTGTGGGGCCTGAACTCTGGGCCTGGGCGCTGTCCCTCAGCTCTTCAGCTCAAGGCTAGCGCTCTACCACTTGAGCCACAGCACCACTTCCGGGTTTTTTCTTTTTGCTTATGTGGTGCTGAGGAATCGAACCCAGGGCCTCATGAACACAAGGCAAGTGCTCTACCACTAAGCCACCTTCCCAGTCCTATCAATTTCTTTAATTGTATGCCACCAATCCCCTACCCTTGAATACAGACTCTAAGAAAATAGAAACCTTATGAGCACCTGAAATATCATTAACCACTGCTGAATTAAATGACTGAGTTAATAAACGGCTTTGTGTCTCTCTGCACAATAATAATTCTGCTACAGGGATTATTGACTCTGTTACAGAGATTAGAAACAAAACTCAGTTGGGTGCCGGTGATTCATGCCTATAATCCTAGCTACTCAGGAGGCTGATATCTGAGGATCACAGTTCAAAGCTAACCTAGTCAGAAAACACACACACACACACACACACACACACACACACACACACACACACACACACACACACACACACACACACACACACAGAAAAAGAAACAAGGCTCAACAAGGACAAGGACAATGTAAAAAGGCCCCAGCTAGGAAGTGTTGGAGTCTGAGGGATGAAGCCAGGCTTATTCTCTCTCTCTGCTGCTTTCTAGAGGCACTGCGGCCAAGATTCCATATCTTGCAAGGATTTCATCGTCCCTCTGCCAATAGTCACTTCATCTCCATACTTGAGTGTACTCAGGTTGAAATTCAGGCCTTGCTCTCTTGGTGGTTCAGGCTGGGATGGGAAAACCAGGCTGGGTAGTCTGGGGTATGCCATGGACTTTCTCTAGAACTCAGGTTCTTCACTTGATATAGAATGGGAGACCTCAGAGTGCCTTCCAATTCCAACTGGATGTGGCTTTTGGAGATGACCGTAGTAAAGTCTAAACATCTCCAGACCCTGATGCTGCCCTGCAGTCCAGCAGCCTTCACAGTGGGTAATGTAAGTCTCAGAAGTCTTAGGGGTCTTTAAGGCCAATTCTCCCAGATGCTTTAACCAAGACAAAACATGAAGCCATTGAAGAGCTGCACTGTGGCTTGAAAGCACACAGATGAGTGGGCTGTGCTTTCAGCTTGGCCTCTGCCCATGCTGGCTATTTAAGGCCTGGTCCTTTCCAGATGGGGTTCCCAAACCACTATATCCCAAGTCTGTGGAGGAACTTCATAGCAAGCAGAGGCAGTACAACATGAACACAGAGTCATTGCTGGAAAGTTGCCTGGACACGTACACAGCACATGTGCATGACCCCGAGGCCACAGCACCAACTCCCTAGCACTGAGTGGTGAGCTCTTATTTCCTGGGTTGTCTGCTGGAAACTTTTCACCAGCACTTACAGGGTTCAGGAAGGGAATGAAGCACAAACAGCAAGAAAAACAAGAGGCTGTTCTCTAGCTTGGCTGTACAAGGCTAACACTTGAAAGTGCAAGGTAAAGAGCTTCCTTTCTACTCCAATGGGTAGACCAATGTACCAGGATTATTCTGAAAAGGTAAACAACGAACATAAATCATATGAGTGTTCACAGTATTCAGCTAACGTGATGAACATGAACATAGCTGCTGCGTGAGCTGGTCCCAGGTTGCATTTAATTGCCCCCCCCCACTCCCAATTGACCTTCTGTCTCGCTGGTTATAGACTTGAATAGACATCCTTAAAACCATATGTTCCTCTGAGAAGTCTAAAAAGCCAAGGAAAAGACAGACAAAAGGTTTTACTTAGCACTAAGGACGCTAGGGACACATTTTGTCAGGACTTGGTCCAAGAAATGTCATGTCTGAAAGTCAAATCGACAACCCAGAAAAAGTCTCCCTTCTCTCTTTAGGTTCCTTTGCAAGCTGGAGAAGACAATAATGCCATCCCGTGGGGCTGGGGGGAGTCCACCTTCCTCACTCAGGAGAGCCTTCTTCCCAGACACATCCAACATGCCCCTGGGCACTCCAGGGCCAGCCACAGGCCACACGGGCACTCCTAGGACTTCCCTGCCTTGCTTGTCTACTGCTTCTCACCAATACCTCCCATTACACTTCTCAGAACCAACCTTGTGAATTCCCACCAGGACCATTCCCTGGGCACTACTGGTGTCTAGGAATGCAGGGGAGGTACTCAAGAAGGAGCAGAAGGTCCTGGTCTGCCAGTTAAGGCAGGAACTGGCACTGGCTAGCACAGACCAGGGGACTGGGTACCTCAGCTCATGAAGCTGTGGTGAAGCTCTGGCTTTTACTCCTCTCTCTCCAAGATCCTTGTCCTGTCATTTAGTCCAATACGGAGAGCAAACTCATCTCTGAAACATGGAGCTTGGTCTCAGTCCAAAGCTACTTACAACAATCCTGTTGTTTTGATTTCTGGAGCCAGAGGTAATGCTAGACTCTCAAGTGTGGCCAGAACGTTTTTATCAGCTCCAGCGAATCAACCTACCACAGTGGGACATCCGGGCGCCCAGTGCAGAGACAAAGCAGAGGTCTGATCTGGCGGTGGAGACTTGGATATAATAAGCAGACCCAAACTCTACAGCCTGTCTTTGCTGTCAGTCATGTGATCTGGTGAAAACCCACAGGAAGTTCAGTGAGCAGATGTAGGGCACAACTGCAATAATTTTATTACCACAAAAGTTCAATGGAGATTTCCAGCTTCCACCTAAAGACTATACAGATAGTATCAGAAACTCTAGCAAGCACTTGGCATGGCTCCAGAAGGTTTAATAAAATTTAAAGCCAAATAGCGACATAGAACATTATATATATTTTTTCAGCCGATATAAAGCCTGTCAGTAGACAAGAGAAGGGTGAG